CTTTCCAAGACCAAGAATGCTTTTCCAGTACCCAGACGCAGATCTTAAAGGACAACTCATTCACTGATTCAGCCTAACAGTTTTAGGTCAGAGACTTTTTCTAAACTTTGTCTTGTGGTGCCTTCTTGCTTACTCATTGACTGACACTCGTGTTCACGTTGTGATCATAGTGTGTTTTAAAAGTTTTAAATCAAATTACAATGGTTAGTAAGACTTATAAATATGGACAACCAAACTGCTTGTTCCCCGTTGAGGAAGGAATGCAGTGCGGTGAATGTAAAAAGTGGTACCATAAGATGTGTACCCATCTAAGTCCTACGGCATACAAAAGATGCTCGAAGCCAAACTCGCATTGGCTTTGTATGTTTTGCTGTACAAATAAAAAGTTATTAATCCAGAGGCTATGAGCCTATTGGCTTTGGCCTGTAAGAAAAACGATGGCGGTTGTCCTGACACCACGAGCACTGACAGTGAAGAATGTGTCAGTGTAGTAAGTGCTGCTACCGGACACGTTAAACACCCGATTGTGATTGATGGAAAAGTAAAAACACCGTTAACATTAACGAGGAGTGAAGTGCCGCTAAATATTGACATTGGAAATCATACACCTTTAGTGGAAATTGAAGACCCGGATAACACTGTCATCGTTCCAAATAGTCCCAGTGTGGCTGACCTGAGTGAGGATAAATGGACTCCAGCACGGAGAAAGAGAAATGAGAAGAAAAAAGCTGTAGGCAAACCGCAGATGGTTAACAAGTCATTGGAAGAGACGGTATCAGAAACAAAAATTCCACTGAGTGTCAAGACAGATCTCTCTGAGAGGTCAGTCATTTTTCATAAGTTAGGAGAACCTTCCGATAAGGAACCAAAGGCTAGATTCGAACACGACTTCAGTCACATTAAGTCCTTAATAAGCAAACTACTCCCAGATACAGTTTCAGGAGTTAGCATTTGTAAGCTTTATAGAATAGGACGAAAGGTGGATTCTGAAAGCCCTCAGAAAAACCGCCTCTTGAAGGTAACATTTGCCACGGTTGAAGAAAGGAACCTGATTTTAGGTAACTCACGCAAACTGATTGGATCCGGAATATATGTCCGTGAGGATCTCAGCCTAGCTGATCGTATTAAGAGACGAGCTGCAGAAGTGGAAATAAATGAGCGTCGCCGAAACGGCGAAAGAAACCTCATTCTTAAGGGTTTTTAAATTGTAAAAGTTCGGAGCAAAACGATCCCCAAACCACTCTGGGTGGTAAGGGAAAGTTCTCCACAGACTTAAAGGTATGCTACACAAATGCTCGGAGCCTACTAAATAAAATGGCGGAGCTTAAGTCAATGGTGGATAAAGAGAAACCGGATGTTATTGCTGTCTCAGAAACTTGGTTAACTCCGGAAATATTAGATAATGAAATTCACTTAGCTGGTTTTTTATCCAGTGGGGCTGATAGATTAAATCGCAGGGGAGGCGGGGTTATCCTGTACACGAAAAGTACCCTAACTATAAGAGTAGCTGAGACAGTGGCACATGTTTCAGGAACATGTGAATTGGTGCGATGTAGGCTGAAATGTAGACGGCAAGACATTGAATTAGTTGTAGTATATCGCAGTCCGGAATGCGTGGTAGATGATTTTCTCCTAAGTAAACTTAAGTCCTGGTGTAACAAGGGTAAAAGCCTTGTAGTAGGCGACTTTAACGCACCGTATATAAACTGGGTAAACTTAGAAGTCGGGTCATCGATAACGTCATTCGATTTCAAACCGTTAGAAACATCGATTGCATTAACTTTGTTCCAACATATTGGAACTCCCACAAGATATGCCTTAAGAAACTCCTCTCTTTTGGATTTAGTTTTTACACACGGTGATGACGTTGGTCAAATGAATTTCCTCCCACCGCTAGGGAAAAGTGACCATGCAGTCATCTTATTCAAATTCGTGGCTGAGATTGCCTGTCAAACAGTTGCGCCGGCGCGTCCTAACATATGGAAGGCAGATATGGAGGCCATCAACTCCGCAGCATCGGCTGAAAACTGGGAAACTGACTCAAGAGCATCAGTACAAGAGGCATGGACGCATTTCAGGCAGTTATACAACCGGGTAACTCAACCATACATACCATGGACAGTCCCAAAGAAGAAGAAACACGGACATCCCTGGATAGGCAGGGATATTCGACGTTTACTAAGACAAAAGAAGAATTGTTGGGATGTCGTCATCCGCCTTGGCACAGCAGGTACGATGGAACACTACAGATCGGTAAGAAACAAGTGTATGACAAAAATTCGAGAAGCTCAAAGAAAATATGAAATGCAGTTGGCACAATCAGCATTCAAGCAGCCCAAGAGAATATTCTCGTACATAAACTACAGAACAAGGATGCATCATTGGATTCCAAGTCTAATTAAAGAAGGGAGTGAATCTGAAATGATAGAGGAAGATCAGGACAAAGCAGAGGCTATGGCTGACTACTTTGGGACAGTTTTCACTCAGGAACCTCCTTTGCACAAAAAACCACACCAAAATAAAGAGTCAATAAACCACCTGCTCACCGTAGACTTTGACCAAGACGATGTGCTTAAGGTTCTCAGCACCTTAAACATGGAAAAGTCAACAGGACCAGATGAACTACACCATAAAATATTGAGACATATTGCACAATATATCGCGGCCCCACTGACTGTGATATTCAATATGTCACTTAATCAAGGTGTATTACCTATGGACTGGAAGGACGCAATCGTCACTCCCATACATGAAACAGGACCAAGACAAATTCCATCGAACTACAGACCTGTAAGCCTCACCAGCGTTGTAGTTAAAATATTGGAAAGAATAGTCAAAAGGACAATAATGAAATTTATTGAAACAAATAACTTGTTAAACATAGAACAACATGGTTTTAGAAAGGGTCTATCTTGTACAACAAACCTCCTTTTAGCAAGGGAATTTTGGATAAAGGCGCTAGACAACGGAAGCTCAGTGGATGTTGTCTACATAGACTTCAATAAGGCTTTTGACAAGGTGCCAACAAATAGACTCTTATTGAAGTTGGAAAGTCTTGGTATTGCTGGACCTCTCTTAAAATGGATTAAGGATTTCCTAGTAGGTCGTAGACAGAAGGTAAGAAAAAATTCCAAGTGCTCCATATGGAGACCAGTATTTAGTGGAGTACCTCAAGGTTCCGTCCCAGGTCCTTTATTTTTTATAATGTATGTCAATGATCTTCCAAGTAAAGTACAGCCTCCAATGTTATTATACACTGACGATGTAAAGATCTGGCGAGTAATAACTGGAGACACAGACTCAGATGCTTTTCAAGCAGACCTAAATGATATAATTAACTGGTCTAAAGAGTGGCTGATGCCTATCAACGCGGCAAAGTGTGTCTACATGCACTTCGGGGACTCAAATGTTAGTAGGTATAACATAGGGGAAGTGCAATTACCAGTGGTTCGGTCTCATAAGGATCTGGGGGTGACAGTCAGTCAGGATCTTAAGACGACGACCCATTGCCGGGAGGTCGCAACTAAGGGGTTTCGAACCCTCTGGGCTTTAAAACGGACATTCACTAAGCTAGATACTATCATGTTCAACAAAGTATACACGTCTTTAGTGAGAACTAAGCTTGAGAACTGCGTTCAGGCTGCAAGCCCGTGTTTAAAAGGTGACTCGGATATCCTAGAAAAAGTACAGAGGGCAGCTATCCGTGCAATTCCAGAACTCCGGGATTTACCATACAAAGAGCGGCTTGAAAAGCTAGATCTCTTCAGACTGTCCTATGGCAGATTAAGGGGAGATTTAATTTTGATGTACAGAATACTGAGAAATGATTTTGGACCTAACTTACTCTCTCTTTTTCTTCCCACTAGATCGGGACATCTCAGAGGACATAGCAGGTGAGTAGAAAAGCCAAAAACGAACAAAATACCCATGGCACACAGGTTCTCACACCGAGTCATTAATACTTGGAACATGCTGCCCGAAGTAGTGGTGTCCGCACCCTCAATTGACTCGTTTAAGAGAACTCTAGACACTCACAGGAGCATACTAGAAAAGGGATAACATAGGCCATAGGCCTTCTGTCCTTACTTTACAAATCTGAAATCTGAGATGCTCAGTCAGCTTATAATCCTATAAACTCTGTTAATTATGACAAAGAATAGCTCAAGTTAATTCGACTATGAATTCAGTACATAAAAATCACCATAGAACTTGTATATACCATATAAAACTCAGAAAAAAACATATATACATACCTGTGAAGTTGTCATCAAATTATGAGCATCTCCAGGCAATTGGTAAGGATTGATACCGACCACAGATGGGCAGTACTCAAAATTTAAACTACTAATAACATCACAACCTAAGTTATAGATTAAAAGATCACATGCAAGTTGGGCTACATTGCCGACACCAACACAAGCAACAATGAGGTTATATGAAGAAAAATAATTACAATCAAGAGCAGGGAATGAAGAGTCGCCGTGAGATGACATGTGAGAAGGTAGCCAATAAAGGTCTACCTTAGATATTTCAGTTTAGATATTGTTTGTTAGGAATTATAACCCCTAGGGTTGTAATGAACTGAATGCAGTTGAAACACAAGAGGGTAGAACAGGTAACGACTTCTATTTGCGTAACAAACGACTGCCAGAACAAAAAGAAGGTGACACCTAAAGCCGAAGGAATGTAAAATACAAGGCTGGAGATATACGCTGGTTTGAAAATACCGTTAGGGTCAGATATCAAAGAACCGAAAAAATATTTTGCTATATCGGATACAAACCAACCAAATAATATAAACAACTCCTCTACACAGGCACTTAGTCCGAAATGGAGGTAATAAGATTTGTATACATACAAAAGAACTTCAAGAAAAAAATAGGAAAACCCTAAGTATTGCCCACAATTATTAAGTAAGACATGTACGGCTGGAACGAGAAACATGTCCAAATGATTCAAACAAATGCTCTGTTACTGGATGTCTCCTTGATTTAAATTAAATGTTACTAATGTTAAGTTTCTTTGCAGACTGCTTCTCTTTGAGTACGATGTCAGCGTGTTGCTATGGTAGCCAAAATGACACGTTTTTAAATGTGAGTTAGTGAGTTTATTATTTCATTTTAATGTATATTGTAAAATAATTACTTGACATTTTTTGCGAAACTGAACATAACAACAGAGTTTTCAGTATCATATCGTGTATTGCCTCAACGCTTTTCTTCATATCCTTTCGTCAACTATATATAGTCACCTATAGGTGACGAAATAAAGGCGAATATATGATGTATTTGGGGTTATGCCAATGATGTTTTAAAAGTTGTATCAAAAACGCAACTGTGTGTGAATTAAGGCGAATCGTAGGCGATTCGGTGTAGATTTAGGCGAAAAGTAAACGATTCGGCGGTAATTTAGTCGAAAAGTAGACAATTTAGCGACAAAGCGACAAAAAGGGGAAAATCCGCATTATTTTCCCTGGACAGGCGAAAAAGGAGACATTTCGGCGCGTTTTCCCTTTTATTTCTTCTTTATTTAACAAAGCATTTTCCCCTTTATTTCCCCTTTATTGGTTGATTGTGCATCATGTAAACAATTATTAGAACCAAAAAGTAGGGCGAAGGTGGTGTTAGAGTAGAGCTACTCAAGTTGATTTCATCACTTTATATCATATGACACGGTCAAATAGTTTAAGAACAAGGGCTGTATGTTTTGTTTTTTCTCAAAATCAGGCACTAACAAGCAATGAGTATGTAAATAGCAAAACTGTTAAGAACTATAAAGCGAGTTACTTATAAAGCGATAACTGTGCTTTTCCCAAACAGAGAACATGGTTTTCGGATTCAGATTTGTGTAGTAAGAAGAGTAGGCCTATGACGTGTAATGTTCGTTTTCTAGTATGCTTCTGTGAGTGTCCAGTCTTCTCTTGAAAGAGTCAATTCAAGGTGCGGACACTACTGCTTCGGATAACACGTTCCAAGAATTGATGGCTTGTTGTAAAAACTTGTACGTCACGAGTATGTTGTTCTTTCTTGACTCCTCTACTCGCTTGCTATATCCTCTGAGATGTCCCGTTCTGGTGGGAAGAAAGTGAGGATAGACTATGTCCGAAATCATCTCTTGGCATTCTATACATCAAAATCAGATAAACTCCTAATCTGTCATGGGACAAAGTAAGGAGGTCTAGCCTGTTAAGCCGCTCATTGTATGATAAACCCCTGAAGATACCACAAGTATTTGCAGTTTGACAACGCTTTAACCAGTAACACCAAATATGAATCGTACCCACCAAGTGAAATCGAAAGACAAAAGCGAGGAGGTTCGAAGATATATTCGACAGGCTATCGAAGAATTACAGAGCTATTTATTTTGGGGGTTTATTTACCGATACACCCTGAAGTTCTGGCATTGCACCAGTAGATGCTCTTTTTAATTTTTGCAAGATATCCGAGTCGCCTTATTAACGAAGAAATGTGATCTAGATCTCACTAGTTTTGTGTTTACTTCAATGAACATATTAGTAGCTAACTTGGTAAATATCCGCCTTTTCGTCTGTAATGTTCGAAAATTTTTGGCTGTGACTTGATTTTGCAGTGTCGGTTATTATGTTAAACCCATGTACCTTGTTCTAGCTTTCGGACAAGCCAATCTATTCATTCTGCTTGGGTCACATTTTGGCCTTGATAATTATTCGGTTATCAATCTTGACTGTTTTCATATGAGCGCGTAGGTCTGTGTGTGCCCATCTTATCCCATTCATCACATGTCTGTTGCTTAATTTTGTGTGAATATAAATATTGATTAACGCTTGACTAGAGGGGAGTTGGTTTACCCGCAATCTGCACTGCGCGTCGTTTCGCTTATCTCTATTGTATCCGCTGCATATCCAAAATATATGCACTCAAAAGTTCATTCTCGTCATTTTACTGATTTAATTCCGCTATTGACGAACGCGATTTGAGTCGATGATTATATACGAGGATAGGCGATAACAAACATTCATATGACTTAATTGAAGTTAGATCCACGGGCCGATAAAGTGGGGAGACCGTCAACAAACATCGTCCGATCTAAATGACGACAAAATAAAGAGCCCCACAATGATAGTTGGCCGTGGTTTTAAGATCACGGCTTACCTTCACCTCAAGATCCTTGTGAGACTGAACTATAGGCACAGACCTTTCGCCTACGCTGTAATATATATCTTTTGTCCACAAATGCGCATGTAGACACACCTAGCCACGTTGACAAGCATCATCCATTTCTTAGATTAGCTAATTAGAACATCTAAGTCTGCCTGAAAGACATGCGCATCTGTGTTTCCTGCTATTTCTCATCGGATTTTTACATCAGCGTGCAGTAGAATTGTCATTTTTTATTTGAGTCTAATCCATCGTCTACAAAGGGCTCCTGAGTGAAAACTATCTCGAAGTTGTTGGCAATGTCCTCAGCACTGTCATAACTTTCATCTGTTATTTAAGATCCATTCCATTCAGTAATATGGTTGAAGGTTCAATGATGTGTTCTGGTTTTGTAATTTATGATCGATTACATATTGCGTTAACTGGTTCTCATATTTTCTCTGAGATACCATAATTCTAGTTACACACTAACTTCGCAATTACCTGTAGCATCCTATTCTATTTACTGTTTCGAGACTGATGGCTACGCTACAGTATTTCTTTTGTTTTGGTGGATGTCGAATCTTCTGGTTTGTCCAGTGATGCCTGTGTTTTTTCTTTCTTTGGAATTGTCCGGTATATAAATAGTCGATCATATAACTGCTGGAACCGAGTTCATGCATCAGAGTTAATTTTCCAGCTTTCAATCGAGACTGCTGAGATAGTCGTTTTTATGTTAGTCATTCATGAGTTAGGACGGGTTGGCTTAACTGCTTGACCGACCATATCAACCATGAACTCGGATGTGATGACCACATGATCATTCATGACTGCGGTATACTACAACCGATCGAACGTCTTGCCCTCTATATTTCTGTAGGCAGAGCACCAGTTCACATGTCCCGGAGTCGTGTGCACCATTTCCTTGGCTTGTATGGTTAGGACGTTTTTCATGAACAGGACAGTCCTAATAACCCTACAGTTTAGTCTGTCGGCCCTACAAAGTAAGAAACTAAACGATTAATATTTACTATCATACACATCTAACGTTACCCATGTTTCTGAGATAGAAATAGCACCAGGATTTTCTGTGTCCACCACGTATATGAGCTCCTCCTTCATATTAAGCAGGTATTTGTATGACAAACCTTTAATACGGTGAAAAACGTTTTTGCGCCACTGAGTGGTTTGGGGATCGCTTTGCGTGAAAAACCTTAAGTGTGAGGATTTTTAACCGTTCCGGTGGCGCTCATATATTTATGCTTTTTCTGATAGTCTACTAATATGATTGATCAGGCTGAGATCCTTACGAACATATATTCCGGATGCAGCCAGTTTGCATCGATTTTGCAACATTAGGTTCCTTTCCTCAGCAGAAGTGGAAGTTAAGTCTATGAGTCGGTTCGCTTGCGTGCTTCATGAATCCACTTTTTGTGCTGCTCTATCAAACTTATGAATGGTAATTCCTGCCACTGTCTCTGGAAGTAGCTTATTTATTATGGCTTTAATGTGGCTGACGTCGTGTTCAGATGTAGCCATTGACTTTCTTTATGAAGGACTCTCTTAACTTATGAAAAAATGACTGACCGCTCAACGAGATCCATCTCGATAAGCCGTGAGATGTTGTCACCTAAACTCTTTTCATCTCTGAAGTCTGACCTGGTGTCAGGAGTGCAAGCATCACTCTGTTCCATGAGTTTTCTAGATGCTACTGTGAGCCGATTGTTGAACTAATCTTTTTCAACTTTCAGGCTTCCTCTAATATAATCTGCCTTACGTTTGCAATGAAGGACTTTAATAGTCCTTTGTATGCCATTTTGAGTGGTCCTTGCCATGAACCGCATCGTTTAAGAACGTGTATATTATATCCCAAAGCAGGTCGGACGAAAATCCAAGGTGACTTTGATTGAACAAAGGATAATCGTTGTGCAAAGTACCACAGAAAACACAGACAGTAGTTGTGCAATCTGTGATATTTAAGAGTGGAAGTTGGTAAAGCCTTCGCTGAAGCTTTATAACATATTGATCGTACATGTGGTACGTTTGACCAAGAATGACAGAAGTACTAGGCGAAAAATACAGAAAGTGGTCTCCTCTCTCCTTCAAATCACCGCATTCATTCTCGATATATGTTGTGTCAATAGACACTGGTTATCAATCGGAATCTACATGCATCTGGACAAGCCAAATAATGCCAGAATCAAGAACAAAAGCGACTCGGGATAGACAATTCTATTTATAGACTGCCGAGCATAAGTAAATATGTGGAAGGACGAGAAACGACCTATTGGCAGATTTCTGGTTAAATAGATTACTTTTCCTTCCATGGCCAATTCGTGGGGACAAGGCAAGAACGCATAAGCCCTTCAAATCGAAAGAATCGAGCTTACATGTTTACAGAACATAGTGATCTGAATGAGCCAAACAGTGTACATAATACCCATGTGAAAAAAAATTTGGAACGTGGACATTTCAAGTCACAGACCAGACGCCGTATGTACCTAACGTTTCATTAATACTCAAATGCATATAGTCCGGAATAGGAAGGGGACTGACCTCTTTATGCACTTCTGTTCAATAGTACCAAAAGTGCACACTTAATAGTCTATCAATCTTCATGAATTTTGACGATACTCAGCGATATTTTCAAACCCCTAAAGATCACGGGTTGGTATTTTGCAGTAAGTCAGCTGCTGACAGTGAGTACGATAATTGTTAACGGGAAAGATTAACCTACCCTATACGTGCCGAATGCACTGATATAGTGAGTTCAGGTGATAGAATTCTTCCTGAAGTCAGCTTTTCTTTACACATGTGCAATGATGACGATTACCCTATCTTTGTTCTTTAACCTTATTAAAGAATTGAGATCACTAGTCAATTTAGAGAATTCGTCAGGTACCGTCACGTACAGACAGTATCTTCCCGGCCGAAGACTTTCTGAATGACACTCACTCAATCCTGTCTAATCTGAGAAG